TGCATTGAATTCGTTGCTTAATAGTAGTTCTTGTTTTTCCATTCATATTTTTAGGTGTTCGATGCACTTGATCGTGATTTAGCATCATCAAATGCTGGTGAAGCGATGAGGAAGGTGAATATGACTGGTGCACCACCATCTTCACATGATACACCAAATGAACGCGAGATTGAGAAGTTGAAAAATTTCACTCAAGAAATACCAGATCGTAGAGAGTTTGAAAAAGCTCAAAATCCACCAGTTTTACCACCTCATCTTTTACAGGTACCCATGTTGAGATGTTTTCAAAAAATTATAATTTCAATTATAAAGTAATCTTTATGTAATAACATTTTGTTCAGCTTGATGTGATAAATTTCTCGGTAAACGAAGGTATTTTATATTTTTGAGAGATATGGAAAATTGTTCAAACTTTTAAGCTCTTAATCGATTATTATTGATCGAAGTGAAAATAACTTTTTGTGATTTGATTATTTTCCAACCTCATCGACTGAGGAACTTTAAAGCATTATTATGTTTAACCGAATTTTTATTATATTGGTGCATTGTAAACACCTTTTCCTTTTCCTTTTTTTTTTTTCAGGTGATTCTCAATAAAGACACACCGATGCAGTGTGATCCAAATGTACTACCGGAACCAAACCATGTAATGCTTAATCATCTTTATGCACTATCAATTAAGGATGGTGTTATGGTACTTTCTGCAACACATCGTTATCGTAAAAAATATGTGACAACGCTACTTTATAAACCAATTTAACAAATATTTTTTCTTTATTTCGGTTAATAAATTACGGTCTATTATTATTATTATTATTATTATTATTATTTTTTTTTTTTGCTGTATCAATGCTTCCTTAATATTAGTTAGAATTCTTATATAATTTTGGTTTGAAAAGAGTAAAACTATGTCCTGTTAAAGGAAATTAATGTTATCAGCCTTTCCCTTATTTGCTGCTGATCAATTCTTTAGATTTTTGTGAAATTAAATTAGGGTGAAAATGATGATATTTCTGTATAGCATGATTTTATAACAGCTAATTCATTTTCAAATCGAATATAGGCTTAGAAAAAGAAAAAATAAGCCAAGGAAATAAGGAAATAAGCCAGGAAATAAGCCAAGTGCAATTTATACTAGAGCTATTTGGTTGTATAATAAATTTGAAGAGTTAGTTTGAAGTAATATAGGAACGATTTTGTTTCTTCACTGTTTCATTGAACTCTTCACGTTATTATTATAGAATGGAAGTGTGTTGTTTTCTTGCACCTTCCGACTTTTTTTTTTTTTTTTTTCTGTTTACGATTTTATTTTTGTGATTGTTCTCTGAAAATATATTTGTATAGGTTGTATTAATGTTAACAATGTATTTAATGTATAATAAACAAGTAGTTATTTTCAATCATCATTGTTTGCTAAATTTTAACATTTCAAATTTTGGGTTAAAAATAAATATCCTCATACTATTCATATTTTTAAACATTATAGGGATTTTATAAATATACGTTGTTATAAATTGAAAAAAAAAAAAAGAAAAATTCATTATCACTTTATCAATTTAAAAAAAAAAAAATTGAATTTAAGTAATTTTGCCAAATTTGCTAAAACAATATGGAATTAGCGTGGACATTAGAACGTATATGGAATGGTGCTGATTTATCAAATGGATGGTCTTCAACAATTTCTGAATATGGTTATTGTTGCACAATACAGGTTAAACTTATTCATAGATATAAATAATTTTGATTTATTTAATCATTTTAAATTTTATCATTTATCTTACTAGTTTATTAGATCATTTCAGTTATCGAGATGAAATTTTGAATATAGAAGAAATGAAATTCTAGCTTTTGTATAACTTTTATCATTTATTATATTTGTTATGTCTTAAATAACTTATGATAAATTGAAAGTATTTCTTAATGCATTAGATATTTTCCTCTTGAATTGTTGAATCTTTTACTATTCGAATCATAGCTAGAAGTAGAATTTTTTTTTTTCGAGATAGAAATAGGATTTTTTTTTATTTAATCTTTTTTTTCTTATATAAATCAATTTTTATGCATTATATCAATGAAATTATCTTTATTAGAGTATCATGTTATATCATTTGTTTTCATATGATTTTAGATTAATGAAATTGATTTGAGAAATTCCAACTTTTTTATGCTGTTGTTATTTTGTCTTTTAAATTTTTGATATCTTTTCAGTGCACAAAGAAAAAATCACATGATGAATGGATACTAAGTGTTAATCCGGAAGAGCATTGTGCATATTCATTACTTGTTGATGTAGTGCTATCCATTGGTGCTTTTCATTTCAAGGTTTTTTTTTTATTCTCATTCTTTTAATATATATTTAATCTTTGTACAATATTTTTTTCTTCACTTTTTACGTTTATCCGTAATTCCGGCATTTTACTTCATTATTTTGCTTATTCTTTGTTAATTATAGTATTAGTAATATTTTTCTTGATAATGTTTCATCTTATTACCTCAATTATGATATATGTTTTAAAAAAGTAATATTTATTACTCTGTTGTATTTTATAGGTTTATAGGGATTTATGGGAAGCATCGAGTGTTGTACTGCAAGAGGAAACACGAAGTGGGTCAAGAGTTGATGTAACATTAAAATTACGAATCATCGAAACATTATCACCGCAAGATCTTAGTGGACAGACACCATATAGAGATTTTGAAATAAGTGTAAGCTCATTTGATAATGTAATTATTACAGTATTTTTACTCTAGTATTTACTTTATTATCGTAAAAGTAATTGACTATTTGGCTATACAATCGTTCAAAACAGAACAATCCAGTAGTTGTTGTTATTCTGCTATATTTGGCCTCAAATTTCATTAAATTAGACTAAATTTAAATTAGGTACTTGATTGTATTTTTCCAGAAGCAGAAGATTTCTTTGATCATCAGAAATATAAGAAAAAAAAAAGATAAGGAAAGATAAGAAAGATAAGATTTCTCTTCTCAAATTAGTCAATCTTCATAAATGAAAGTGTAAAAGTTTGCTAATTTTGTTTACCTTTTTTAAATTAGAAAAAAAATAGTTTTAGTGTAAGGAACGTTCATGGTTTGTTGATGTCACATATTTGGCATCTGTTGGTGGCAAACTATTCACCGAATGGAATGAACAACGTTCGAAAGGTATAAAGAAATGCTGGGTAGAAGGTATTTCCACCTATGAACTAGATTGTCTCATTGATGCAACTGCTAAATATCGACAGATTGTTGTGACAAGGTTTGTCATTATGGTTTTGCTACTTCCTAGTTAGTATATGAATATATTAATTAATTAAGTCTACCAAGTGTTATTGATTATTTATATATTATACTAAATTTAAGCAGTTTTTAGCTAAGTAATTAGTAGAATTGTGATTATTATTATTATTATTATTATTATTATTTTTATTTATTATTATTATTAATTAAATATTGTTATGAAGACTTACAATGTTAGTTCACTCTAAATATCTAAATAAAATATTTATTGCCTTCGTTGGTTCATTGAAATTGTTCATCAGTAGAAGGCGATTCAGGTCATAAATTTCCTTAATGTGGTTATTTAATTGCTGTAAGTTCAATGAATTGGTTCATCTTTCAAATTGGCGATCAATTTGAAAGATGAGCAGAAATAAGCAAAATTTTATTCAAAATTAAACTTTCGTTGTTTATCAAATAAAAGCAATCATTTATGTGGAACATTTATGTGAAAGAATTATGTAAAACAAAAAATTGGATAGTAAAACATAAGTTCTTTGGAGTTAGAATAAAAAGAAATTTTTTTTTTTTTGCTTGATTATCGTTTTTAAGAAATTCTCTTTAACTTTTTTTTCATTAACGTTTTTTTTTTTTTATATTTTAAAGGATGAATTATGATGTTTTGGTCAGTGTTGCATTTCGATATAACATTAGCGCAGTATTACGAACAGTTGAATCATTTCTTATGGATGCTGAATGGATTCATCCAATAAGAAGACTTGAATATGCTGTTTGTTACAAGTAAATTAAACTTTTTTTTTCTTTTTTTCAAATTTTTATTTTTATTGGGAATTTTCAGATTACATCATTTTTCGGTAACGGAAAAATTTCAAACTGATAGACAAATAAACAAATAAATTTGTGTTAGTGATTTGTTGTTTCAGATGAATAAATTTTCAGGTAGTTGTAGAATTAATTTTATAATTTTAATTTATATGCTATTTTTAGATTAGCTAGATTGGGTGATACAATTAGCAGAAAATTAGTGTCATCGGATACAGCAATTGAGAAGTTGCATGAATATTTGGCTGAAAATGATGAAACTATAGCTCAGGTATTAATTTCAAAATTCATTTGCTCAGAAAATAATTTTTTTTTAATTAAAATAATTTTTTTTTTTTTCAAAATTCATTTGCTGAGAAAATAATTTTTTTTTTTTTGTTTAGGAAGTTACTTTTGATCTGGAAAAAAAAATCATACCTGAAGAACTATTCATTTCATGTTTTTTTTTTGTCTTCATTTAGCTAAAAACATTTTCTTTCTTCATCACTATCATCATTTTTCCTCCAATATTCTAATTTATCTTTAAGCTTTAATTATAACATTTTCAGATGCATCCGGACGTACTAATCTCATTGAATATTCATCCGGATCATGTACTTTCATAACTGTTTCTCATATGGATTAAATCATACGATGAATGTTTATTCCATTCGTTTTGTATTTTATTTTTTTTTTTGCAATTTTCAAGTTTGTTTAAATTTTGCTCTCATCTTTTTTTAATCTCTAACTTCATCGTTTGTAAAATATACATTTTCTCATTTTGAAATTGGAATGATCTCATGAATTATTCTTATTGCTTGAAGCTAAATTAAGTTACCTTTTACAATGCATAAGAGAATACTTGTTTATTGAATTAGTTGTTTTCTTTGTTAAATATTGAACAAATTTGTAGTACATGTTCAGTTAATTAATTGTTTCATAAACTTCTAAACCGGAACAAATGCAAGATCTAAATTTCACTTCTAAACCGGAACTAATGAAAGACCTAAATTTCATTTCTAAACTGGAACTAACGCAAGATCTAAATTTCACTTCTAAACCGGAACTTATGCAAGATCTAAATTTCACTTCTAAACCGGAACTAATGAAAGATCTAAATTTCATTTCTAAACCGGAACTAATGCAAGATCTAAATTTCACTTCTAAACCGGAACAAATGCAAGATCTAAATTTCACTTCTAAACCGGAACAAATGCAAGATCTAAATTTCACTTCTAAACCGGAACTAATGCAAGATCTAAATTTCACTTCTAAACCGGAACTTATGCAAGATCTAAATTTCACTTCTAAACCGGAACTAGCGCAAGATCTAAATTTCACTTCTAAACCGGAACAAATGCAAGATCTAGACTTCACTTCTAAACCGGAAATAATGCAAGATCTAAATTTCAAGTACGGAATAAATTAATGTAATCGTATGTTGAAAAGGAAAGCAGTAAATACGCGCGTTAGTCTGATTTGGCCGGAGCTTTCCTGAAGTGTGAATGAAGTACAAATGTTGAGCGACTCTGACCCTTTCCCGACGGTATGCACCGGAAACGGAACGCCTCATTGGAACCTCCCAAATGCATTACTCTTGCATTCCTCAGGTGGAGATTATTCGATTAAGTCGACCTAATCTCTGTTTATTGAAATGCTATCCTGACAGCCTTCCTCTCCCTCATATGCTATCAGGGAATGCATGTGCAGCAAGTAATGAGTGGATGTAGGAAAAATTCACTCACTCTCTGCCGTCTCTTTTGTAAATGTGGTCTCTCCTCTTTGCTAACATTTTATAAGAAACCGAATTCGAGATTAATTAATTATGTTAGGTATTTTTGACACAATTAATTGCTTCTTAATTTATGAGTTTGTATGATGATCATGATCATTTGACCTTGTTTGACCTTTTAAGTTAAGTAAAGTTCAAGTTAAGTGAAGTATTTGACCTTTCAAATTGATTAATGTCATTTTAGGAATGCGTAAATATAGTTGAATTCAATGAGAAAATAAATAATTAACTACGAATTTATTAAATATATAAAAATTAAAGTAGGATTTTTGCTAATTTTACAATTTAAATTTTTTTTTTTAAATCATTTAAATTATAAATAAGGATCATGATTATTTGACCCTGTTTGACCTTTTAAGTTAAGTAAAGTTCAGGTTAAGTGAAGTATTTGACCTTTCAAATTGATTAATGTCATTTTAGTAATGCGTAAATATAGTTGAATTCAATGAGAAAATAAATAATTAACTACGAATTTATTAAATATATAAAAATGAAAGTAGGATTTTTGCTAATTTTATAATTTAAATTTTTTTTTTTTAAATCATTTAAATTATAAATAAGGATCATGATCATTTGACCCTGTTTGATCTTTTAAGTTAAGTAAAGTTCAGGTTAAGTGAAGTATTTGACCTTTCAAATTGATTAATGTCATTTTAGTAATACGTAAATATAGTTGAATTCAATGAGTAAATAAATAATTAACTACGAATTTATTAAATATATAAAAATGAAAGTAGGATTTTTGCTAATTTTACAATTTAAATTTTTTTTTAAAAATCATTTAAATTATAAATAAGAAAATTTACGATGAATTTATTGTTATTGCATGGCTCAAGTGATACGGTTATTTCAATGGATACTATTGCCATATTGTATAATTTTGTTAATTTCTTTAGCAAAAAGTTTGCAAACTTTAAGATGGTATAATTATCAGTGATTAATTACTGATTATATTAAAATTATTTTTATATTTGTTGCAAAAAAAAAAAAAATTTTGCTTTAAATTCGGTTTTAAAAAAAAATTCCAAATTAAGAGTGCTTATCAAAATTATCATTTGTCTTATCATCAAAAAAAAAAAAAAAAATTAATTCTCATTATTAAATGAGAATTATTAAATTTCCTTTTTGTTCTCAATTATTATTAAATTTTCCAATTATTATTAAAAATTTCTCATTATTATTAAATTTCCTTTTTGTTTATTTTATTGGATTATTCAAACGATTAATTGACTCATTTCTATCAGTAAGATTAATTTTATCAAACATTTAAAAATTATGCTAATTTAATTCATTTAAAAAAAAATTTATTCAATCTTTCGAATTTAATTATTTTTAATCGTTCAATTTTCGCTCTTATTTCCATTCTTTTTTACTAAAATATGGTGAAATTAAATTAGAATACAGATGAAATTGAATTATTTCATTTCAGTTTTGTTGGCACTGATAATGATTTAATTATCAATCAATGTTCACCTAATGAATTAGCATGTTTTCGTGCTATCATTGATAAGCAATCACAATCACATACAATTTATGGTTGTATTGATATATTCAATATAAAATGTTCATCAAGTTTTAATCTATACAAAACAAATAAAACATTTTTAAAACGAAATGGTAAAATTAATTTTTTAAATTTATTCACTTTTAATATATTTGCATAAAAAAAAAACATTTGTATAAACAAAGAAAAAAAAAACCTCATAAAATTAACTTAATTTTAGAAAAAATGGTAAAATGAATTTTTTTAATTTATTTACTTTTAATATATTTTTAAAAAAACTTAAAGTCATCCTAATTTTAGAAAAAGAAATTAGTCTAATCATTCTAACACACACATACTAACATTACAACCTGAAATAATTTAAATTAAATGCAATTTTAGGAAAAAAAATAGTAAAATTAATTTATCAAATTTATTTACTTTTAATGTATTTAAAAAGAAAACTTAAAATTATCCTACTTTTAGTAAAAAAAAAAATCATTCTAACACACACACATACTAATATTACAATCTGAAATAATTTAAATTAAATGCAATAATTTTAGAAAAAAATGGTAAAATAGAGGATTTATTCACTTTAAATATATTTTTAAAAAAACTTAAAATCATCCTAATTTTAGAAAAAAAAAAATTATTCTAGTCATTACTAATATTACAATCTGAAATAATTTAAAATACTAATATTACAATCTGAAATAATTTAAATTAAATGCAATAATTTTAGAAAAAAATGGTAAAATAGAGGATTTATTCACTTTAAATATATTTTTAAAAAAATTTAAAATCATCCTAATTTTAGAAAAAAAAAAATTATTCTAATCATTCTAACACACACACACATACTAATATTACAATCTGAAATAATTTAAATTTAAATGCAATTATCCTGAAAATTTCCATTTAGATATTAGCCAAATTATTCAAATTGAAAATAATTATCATTGTTGTACAGCAAATTTATGCAATAGTAATGTGAAAAATAATCGAAATCAAATGATTATGCACAATGAAATGAGTGAAAAATCGTTATTAGATTTTAATTATTTGGTAAAATTTGTTAATTTCATTTATAAATTATTGAAATAATTTTCAGTTCAATTAATTTTGTCACAGTAACCTATGACCTTTAGGTGATAAATCTTAATTATTTGATAAAAGTTGTTAATTTCATTTATAAATTATTGAAATAATTTTCAGTTCAATTAATTTTGTCACAGTAACCTATGACCTTTAGGTGATAAATCTTAATTATTTGATAAAAGTTGTTAATTTCATTTATAAATTATTGAAATAATTTTCAGTTCAATTAATTTTGTCACAATAACCTATGACCTTTAGGTGATAAATCTTAATTATTTGATAAAAGTTGTTAATTTCATTTATAAATTATTGAAATAATTTTCAGTTTAATTAATTTTGTCACAGTAACCTATGACCTTTAGGTGATAAATCTTAATTATTTGCTAAAAGCTGTTAATTTCATTTACAAATTATTGAAACAATTTTCAGTTCAATTAATTTTGTCACAGTGACCTATGACCTTTAGGTGATAAATCTTAATTATTTGATAAAAGTTGATAATTTCATTTATAAATTATTGAAATAATTTTCAGTTCAATTAATTTTGTCACAGTAACCTATGACCTTTAGGTGATAAATCTTAATTATTTGCTAAAAGCTGTTAATTTCATTTACAAATTATTGAAACAATTTTCAGTTCAATTAATTTTGTCACAGTGACCTATGACCTTTAGGTGATAAATCTTAATTATTTGATAAAAGTTGATAATTTCATTTATAAATTATTGAAATAATTTTCAGTTCAATTAATTTTGTCACAGTAACCTATGACCTTTAGGTGATAAATCTTAATTATTTGATAAAAGTTATTAATTTCATTTATAAATTATTGAAATAATTTTCAGTTCAATTAATTTTGTCACAGTGACCTATGACCTTTAGGTGATAAATCTTAATTATTTGGTAAAAGTTGTTAATTTCATTTATAAATTATTGAAATAATTTTCAGTTCAATTAATTTTGTCACAGTGACCTATGACCTTTAGGTGATAATTTTTTGTTTTGCTATCTTACCTAAATTAATTTATCAATGAAAATTTATTGGAAAGCAAAAATGAATGAATCATAACAATTTCAATTACTAATAGGCAAAATAACGTTTATCTCTCAAAATTGAAATATTATATTTCATTATTGGATCTTAAAAAATTTAAAAAGCCTTTAAAATTAAAAAAAGCAAATCTTTAAAATAAAATTGATTTGAAAATTTCAACAAATTTCAATTCAAATTTTCAAATTTCAATTCAAATCTTTTTACTAATAAAATAGTGAAAATTTAATTTTTTTTTTTTTTTTAAAAAAAAGGAAAATAAAAAAATAAAATCGAATGGTAATCTTTGGAAAGTTTACAATAAGTTTTCAAGTTTATTCATTTTAATATCCTATATTATTTGATATTATTTAAATTGAAAAAAAAATAAAATAAAATAAAATTTTTCATTTTTTCAGTTATACAAAATTTCAAAGTTTATTTACTTAATGAATAAAATTAGCAAAAAAATTTTAACTTACTTTTAGCTTACTTACTTACTTACTTACTTTACTTTTAGATGACTGATCATCAACAATGGATCAAATATCGACAACGAAAAAAACGAAATAATTTTATTTTTGCACTTTGTTTTATTAATTTTATTGCAATTTTTCTTTTCACAGTGGCTTTTTTGCATGGTACATGTCATCTTCCATCACCAATTTAATTAATTTTAGATAAATTTCAAAAAAAAAAAAAAATTATTTTTCATTTTTTTTTTCAAAATGAATTTCAATTTGTCAAAATCGTTTTTAAAAATGAAATAATTTAGATCGTTTACTAAAAAATTTTTTAATTAAAAATTGTTCAAAATGTTTCAAATTTTTTTTTTCATTACTTTTAAATTTCATAAAATTCACAAATATTTACATTGCAAAATGTTTAGTCTAGTTTATATAACAAAAATAGGAAATTAATAATTAAAAAGTAATAATACTTTTAATTATAATTTTATTTTGATGAAAAAAATTTTTCATTTTGTCACATTTAAAATTTTTTTTTTTTTGTTTACACTCAAAACTTTTGCATGGTGCAAGCATTTTAAGCAATAATATTTTTTTTAAAATATATTCCATTAGATTTCATTAATTTTAGGTTATATCAAAATTGAAATTTACAAAAAATTAAAATTTTTTATTATCACTTCTTCCAATAATCACTAAACATTATGTATTTATACAGTTCTTTCTTTCGATATATTCCATTAAATTTCATTAATTTTAGGTTATATCAAAATTGAAATTTACAAAAATTAAAAATTTTTATTATCTCTTTTTCTAAATATTATAAATCTAAACAGTCTCATAGAATTAAAAACGAAAAAAAAATGATTAACTTGCAGTAAAGAGGAAAAAAAAACTATTCAAATCAAATTTGCTAATTAATTTATTTGTAAATTAAAAAAATTGCTAATTAAATTTGTTTTTTTGATAAATTAAATTTAACCATGCAAGCATACTTCAATTCCGGAATTCAATTATTTCAATCGATTTCAATGATCAAATTTTATTGATTAACATTTTTGATAATATTTTCAATGTTATGTTTTCACTTTTGGCTAAAATTTAAAAAAGATTTAAATTTAAAATTTAAAAGCATTTAAAAGCATTTATTGATAACATCATATCATTTCTTTTTATCATAAATAAAACATAAGCAAATGCTAAATATCACAACGAACAAATTTTGTCACAAATTAAAACAAAAAAAAAAAATAAAATAAAATAAAATAAAATCGTAGATTGCAAAAATAAATAAATAAATAAATAAAAATAATAAAATGCAATATTTAGGAGCAATAATAAAATGATACAGCACTGTATGAATGTATTTAGGAATGATAATTTTAACATTTAATAAATTCAATTAACAAATAAATTTAATGAAATTAAAAAATTTAATACAAAAAAAAAAAAAATTATTTAAATAACTTTTAAATTAGAAACGATTTAAAAAAAAAAAAAAAAGAAAAGAAAGTTAAAATTAAATAAGCAAAGAAAAATAATTTTTTCGTTTTTTAAAGAATTAAATTTTGAAATAACATTTAAAATAAAATTTGCCTATTTCAATTAATGGCAATTATTGAATGAAAAAGAAAAAAATTCAATTCAAAATTTTAAATCAACAAATTTTGATATTTGATAAATAAAATTAATGAAAATGAATGATAATTATATGCTCTAATGATAATATCAAATTTTAACAATTAAAAAATAAAAATAGCAAAAATTAATTTTTAACTTATATTCATGTACTTTTTACTTTTTTAAACTTTTTTAAAACTTTTTTTTTCTTTTTCTACTTTATATTCAATTTTATGATTCATTTCACACTCCGTTTTCAATTTTTTTTTTCTAATATATTTTAAGATTTTAAAGTTTTTTTTTTTGTAAAAATAGTGAAAGAATTATGATATGAAAATAGCGAAATATTTATGATAACAAAATGATAAGCAAATTATTATCACTGTATTAATGTGGCAGTATTAATTAACATTTATCGATAAATTTATCTTATCATCGAATTCATTTTTCTATCATTTAATTATATTTTATTTGCAGGAAAAAATAGGAAATTTTTTAATTTAACAAATTGATAATTTGTTTTTTTTTTTTAATTTCAAAATTTCAATTTTTATTTTTTCACAAGTCCATCTTTTAACAATTTAAAATTTAAACTAAATCAAAAAAAAAAAAATAATGATAAAATAAAATTGTAGAATGAATACATTGTTGCTTTTTTCCCCAATTTTATCAATTTAAATCTTATCACTTAATTGATAATCATTCAAAATGTAATTTGGTTTTCTTTTAATTTTAAAATTTTAAATTTTATTTTTTTTCATAAACCAATCTTTTAACAATTTAAAATTTAAACTAAATCATTAATTGTAAAATGAATATATTACTTCTTTTTTTTCTCCAATTTTATCAATTTAAATCTTATCAGTTAATTGATAATCATTCAAAATGATATAATTGAAATAAATTCAAAATTTCTCCATTTAAAATAAATGAAACAAAGTTAAAAGGAAAGAAAAGAAAAAAAAACATCAAATATTGATAATTTTATTTAATTAATGAAATTTTACCTGATTAATGATAATTTCTAATTTATAATTTATTTGCTAAATATTTCATTTTCAAAAAAAAAAAAACAAATTTCAAATTATCATTTTATTTATCACATATCTCATCATGATTATTTCTCAGTCGAAGTGATATAAGAAAATTTAAACATTGTAAACGATATTGTGGTAGAATGATGACTGTTAATAATGGATTCAAAATCTGAAAAAAAAAATACAAATTAAACTGATAAATATTGTAAATCTACTGATAACGTATTTAATAAAATTTAAAATTTAAATTTTAATTAAATTTAAATGTCATTTATCATTTAAGAGAAGATAATATTTTAATACAGTGTAAAACTGCTTGATAATTATAATAAACATTTTATTGAAATTTTTAAAATTGTTTTAAATTTTTAAAAAAGACTAAACTTTTTAAAAATATTTTAATTAGCTGTTAATTATATTGACAAATTACTTATATTGATAATTAATTATATTGATAAATTACTTGTTGTTTAGGAAAAGATAATATTTTAATACAATGCAAAATCTGCTTGATAATTATAACAAATATTTTATTGAAATTTTTTAAACTATTTTAAATTTTTAAAAAATAAATACCTTTTTAAAAATGTTTTGATTAGCTGTAGTATATTGACTAATTAGATTGATTAATTAGTATATAATTAAGTTTAATTGTTTTTTTTTTAATTATTTATTTCTTAATTATCTCATTAATTATGCAATAACGAATTTAAATCCATCGCATAGTAGGTAAGCACAAAAATAAAATAAATTTAAATGTCATTTATCATTTAAGAGAAGATAATATTTTAATATAATATAAGCCTGTTTGGTGATTATAATAAATATTTTATTGAAATTTTTTAAACTATTTTAAATTTTTAAAAAATAATTTAATCTTTTTAAAACTGTTTTGATTAGCATATAATTAAAAAATTTAATTGTTTCAATAATTAATTTAATTGATAATTTAGTATATAATTAAATTTACCAAATTATCACATTAATTATGCAATATCGGATTTAAATCTATCGCATAATAGGTAATTTTAATATAATATAAGCCTGTTTGATGATTATAATAAATATTTAATTGAAATTTTTTAGACTATTTTAAATTTTTAAAAAATAATTTAATCTTTTTAAAACTGTTTTGATTAGCATATAATTAAAAAATTTAATTGTTTCAATAATTAATTTAATTGATAATTTAGTATATAATTAAATTTACCAAATTATCACATTAATTATGCAATATCGGATTTAAATCTATCGCATAATAGGTAATTTTAATATAATATAAGCCTGTTTGATGATTATAATAAATATTTAATTGAAATTTTTTAGACTATTTTAAATTTTTAAAAATAATTTAATCTTTTTAAAACTGTTTTGATTAGCATATAATTAAAAAATTTAATTGTTTCAATAATTAATTTAATTGATAATTTAGTATATAATTAAATTTACCAAATTATCACATTAATTATGCAATATCGGATTTAAATCTATCGCATAATAGGTAATTTTAATATAATATAAGCTTGTTTAATGATTATAATAAATATTTAATTGAAATTTTTTAGACTATTTTAAATTTTTAAAAAATAATTTAATCTTTTTAAAACTGTTTTGATTAGCATATAATTAAAAATTTAATTGTTTCAATAATTAATTTAATTGATAATTTAGTATATAATTAAATTTACCAAATTATCACATTAATTATGCAATATCGGATTTAAATCTATCGCATAATAGGTAATTTTAATATAATATAAGCCTGTTTGATGATTATAATAAATATTTAATTGAAATTTTTTAGACTATTTTAAATTTTTAAAAAATAATTTAATCTTTTTAAAACTGTTTTGATTAGCATATAATTAAAAAATTTAATTGTTTCAATAATTAATTTAATTGATAATTTAGTATATAATTAAATTTACCAAATTATCACATTAATTATGCAATATCGGATTTAAATCTATCGCATAATAGGTAATTTTAATATAATATAAGCCTGTTTGATGATTATAATAAATATTTAATTGAAATTTTTTAGACTATTTTAAATTTTTAAAAAATAATTTAATCTTTTTAAAACTGTTTTGATTAGCATATAATTAAAAAATTTAATTGTTTCAATAATTAATTTAATTGATAATTTAGTATATAATTAAATTTACCAAATTATCACATTAATTATGCAATATCGGATTTAAATCTATCGCATAATAGGTAATTTTAATATAATATAAGCCTGTTTGATGATTATAATAAATATTTAATTGAAATTTTTAGACTATTTTAAATTTTTAAAAATAATTTAATCTTTTTAAAACTGTTTTGATTAGCATATAATTAAAAAATTTAATTGTTTCAATAATTAATTTAATTGATAATTTAGTATATAATTAAATTTACCAAATTATCACATTAATTATGCAATATCGGATTTAAATCTATCGCATAATAGGTAATTTTAATATAATATAAGCCTGTTTGATGATTATAATAAATATTTAATTGAAATTTTTTAGACTATTTTAAATTTTAAAAAATAATTTAATCTTTTTAAAACTGTTTTGATTAGCATATAATTAAAAAATTTAATTGTTTCAATAATTAATTTAATTGATAATTTAGTATATAATTAAATTTACCAAATTATCACATTAATTATGCAATATCGGATTTAAATCTATCGCATAATAGGTAATTTTAATATAATATAAGCCTGTTTGATGATTATAATAAATATTTAATTGAAATTTTTTAGACTATTTTAAATTTTTAAAAAATAATTTAATCTTTTAAAACTGTTTTGATTAGCATATAATTAAAAAATTTAATTGTTTCAATAATTAATTTAATTGATAATTTAGTATATAATTAAATTTACCAAATTATCACATTAATTATGCAATATCGGATTTAAATCTATCGCATAATAGGTAATTTTAATATAATATAAGCCTGTTTGATGATTATAATAAATATTTAATTGAAATTTTTTAGACTATTTTAAATTTTTAAAAAATAATTTAATCTTTTTAAAACTGTTTTGATTAGCATATAATTAAAAAATTTAATTGTTTCAATAATTAATTTAATTGATAATTTAGTATATAATTAAATTTACCAAATTATCACATTAATTATGCAATATCGGATTTAAATCTATCGCATAATAGGTAATTTTAATATAATATAAGCCTGTTTGATGATTATAATAAATATTTAATTGAAATTTTTTAGACTATTTTAAATTTTTAAAAAATAATTTAATCTTTTAAAACTGTTTTGATTAGCATATAATTAAAAAATTTAATTGTTTCAATAATTAATTTAATTGATAATTTAGTATATAATTAAATTTACCAAATTATCACATTAATTATGCAATATCGGATTTAAATCTATCGCATAATAGGTAATTTTAATATAATATAAGCCTGTTTGATGATTATAATAAATATTTAATTGAAATTTTTAGACTATTTTAAATTTTTAAAAAATAATTTAATCTTTTTAAAACTGTTTTGATTAGCATATAATTAAAAAATTTAATTGTTTCAATAATTAATTTAATTGATAATTTAGTATATAATTAAATTTACCAAATTATCACATTAATTATGCAATATCGGATTTAAATCTATCGCATAATAGGTAATTTTAATATAATATAAGCCTGTTTGATGATTATAATAAATATTTAATTGAAATTTTTAGACTATTTTAAATTTTTAAAAAATAATTTAATCTTTTTAAAACTGTTTTGATTAGCATATAATTAAAAAATTTAATTGTTTCAATAATTAATTTAATTGATAATTTAGTATATAATTAAATTTACCAAATTATCACATTAATTATGCAATATCGGATTTAAATCTATCGCATAATAGGTAATTTTAATATAATATAAGCCTGTTTGATGATTATAATAAATATTTAATTGAAATTTTTTAGACTATTTTAAATTTTTAAAAATAATTTAATCTTTTTAAAACTGTTTTGATTAGCATATAATTAAAAAATTTAATTGTTTCAATAATTAATTTAATTGATAATTTAGTATATAATTAAATTTACCAAATTATCACATTAATTATGCAATATCGGATTTAAATCTATCGCATAATAGGTAATTTTAATATAATATAAGCTTGTTTGATGATTATAATAAATATTTAATTGAAATTTTTTAGACTATTTTAAATTTTTAAAAAATAATTTAATCTTTTTAAAACTGTTTTGATTAGCATATAATTAAAAAATTTAATTGTTTCAATAATTAATTTAATTGATAATTTAGTATATAATTAAATTTACCAAATTATCACATTAATTATACAATATCGGATTTAAATCTATCGCATAATAGGTAATTTTAATATAATATAAGCTTGTTTGATAATTATAATAAATATTTAATTGAAATTTAATTGAAATTTTTTAAACTATTAATTGAAATCTGAAATTTTTTTTAAGTTGAAATTTTTTAAACTATTTTAAATTTTTAAAAAAAAACTTCATAACTAATTTGATTGATAATTTAGTATATAAATAAATTTAATTATTTCAACTTTTTCATTTACCAAATTATCACATTAATTATACAATACCGGATTTAAATCCATCGCATAGTAGGTAAGCACACTGATAAAAACACTACCACATGTTCTTATCACTGTATCCTTATCAATGATTGTCCTGTACAGTGTCACCAAACGATATGGTGTTAGCGTTAAAATTGTGAAAAAAGTTGAAATAAAAATGAAATAAAATGTACGCATTCCAGATTTCATTGCATTATTTTTCTTGCATATACCATTTGCTGTGTATAATTTTTGCTCTAAAAAAAAAAAATTAATTAATTTAATTAAAAAAAAAAATAAAATTAATAATTTATAAATTAACAAATTGATTATTACAAAATTATCATTATCAATGTGATAATTTGTACAAGTATAATTATAATATTATATTTATAACATTTGATCAAAACTTATTTTTAATACTACTTTATTTTTTTTTTGATTTAAACAAAACTAACAATATTTAAACATTTAAAATGCTAAGATGTAAAATTGTTTAATAAAAATTTAAATTCAAAAATTAGAGAAAAATTGGAGTAAAAATTACGATAAAATTTACATTTTAACATATTCGTTTTGTTTTTAATGAAATTTAAAAAAAAAAAATTTGAATTTAAACAAAAACATTAAATGTAATTAACTTTTAATCTTCAATTTCAAAAAAGTTATTTTCTGTAAAATTATTTAATAAGAATTAAAATAGATTCAAAATTTAGAGAAAAAAATGGCGTAAAATTTACGATAAAATTTACTTTAATCAAATTTTTAAAAAAGAAAATTTTAATTTAAACAAAAACATTAAATATAATTAACTTTTAATCTTTAATAATTTCATTCAATAAATTATATTTTACAAAAAGTTTTTTTTTCTTTTTCATTTCAAATTAATATTTTTATATAATTAATTAGCAGGCAAATTACCTTCAGCAATTTGTTTCCTATGAATGCTAACAATGTGTAATAAATAGAGCGCAACCATAAACGATGATAAAGCCGGAAAAGCGGAAACAAAAAACGTAAAAAATAAATACATTAATGGACCGTAACGATTATTATCAGTGGTAAGTCGTTCACAATTATAACGACAAATTAATGCTCGAGTATAAAATGCTAGGTAAATAAAGATGACACTAAGTAACCAGGTAGCAAATGCCATTAAATATGCACGATTTCGTGTCACCAATTCTGAGTACCTTAAAATTATTTTATAAATTACAAAAAAAAAATGGAAAAGAAAAAAAAACATGTCACCAATTCTGAATACCTTAAAATAATTTCTGAGTACCCTAAAATAATTTCTGAGTACCATAAAATTATTTTATAAATTATAAAGAAAATAAAAAAAAAAAAGACGTGTCACCAATTCTGAATACCCCAAAATAATTTCTGAGTACCTTAAAATTATTTTATAAATTACAAAAAAAAAAAAAAAAATGGAAGAATGGAAAAGAAACGTGTCACCAAGTCTGAATACCTTAAAATAATTTTATGAATTATAAAAAAAATAAAAAAAGCGTGTCACCAGTACTGAATACCCTAAAATAATTCCTAAATGCCCTAAAATAATTTCTGAATGTCTTAAAATAATTTCTGAGTACCACAAAGTATTCTGAATACCTTAAAATTATTTTATAAATTATAAAGAAAATAAAAAAAAAAAAACGTGCCACCAATTCTGAATACCTTGAAATAATTTCTGAGTACCATAAACTATTCTAAGCACCATAAACTATGAAAAAGAAAAAAAAACATGTCGTCAATTCTGAATATCTTAAAATAATACCTGAGTACCCCAAAATAATTTCTGAGTACCTTAAAATTATTTTATAAATTACAAAAAAAAAAAAAAAATGGAAAAATGGAAAAGAAACGTGTCACCAATTCTGAATACCTTAAAATAATTTTATGAATTATAAAAAAAATAAAAAAAGCGTGCCACCAGTACTGAATACCCTAAAATAATTTCTGAATACCCTAAAATAATTCCTAAATGCCCTAAAATAATTTCTGAATGTCTTAAAATAATTTCTGAATACTCTAAAATAATTCCTGAGTACCCTAAAATAATTTCTGAGTACCTTAATATATTCTGAATACCTTAAAATAATTTTAAGAATTATAAAAAAAATTAAAAAAAACGTGCCACCAGTACTGAATGCCCTAAAATAATTTCTGAATGCCCTAAAATAATTCCTAAATGCCCTAAAATAATTTCTGAATGTCTTAAAATAATTTCTGAATACTCTAAAATAAATCCTGGGTATCCTAAAATAATTTCTGAGTACCTTAATATATTCTGAATACCTTAAAATAATTTTAAGAATTATAAAAAAAATAAAAAAAAACGTTTTACCAATTCTGAACACCTAAAATAATTTCTGAGTACCATGAACTATTCTGAGTGCCCTAAAATAATTTCTGAATATCTTAAACTAATTTATGAATTATAAAAAAAAATGAAAAAAAAACGATTTTTCTTCTTCTTTTTTCAACAAAATATATGTTTAATGTAAAATTTAAATAATTAAAGCTATAAAAAAATGAAAAAAAAGAAAAATTTTCAAAAATATATTTAATGTAACACTTAAATAATTGAACTAACGATTAAAAAATTAATTGTAATTATGTAATCAAAAAAAAAAAAAAACTTTAGTTATATATACTAAAATTAGGTTTGTTTTTTTAATCAAAATTTTTCATTTTAAAAGTTCAATTTTTCAATTTAGTAATTTTAAGTAAACAATTTCTCTTGCTTAATTATAACTAATGATTTGCAGATTAACTTTTAATAATTACTTCAAACTTTTAATAATCGTTCCAATTAAGTACTAAATAAATATTTGTTATTGTTATTAATTATATTTATTAATTTCTTAAAACTAGAACGATTACTTATTAAAGTTATTAAAAAAAGAAAAATTACTTATTAAATTATTTAAAAAAAAAAAAGAAATATTTGTTAAATAACAGTTAAAATAATTATTTCACAAAAATTAATTTTTAATTGAAACTAATTTTCACTAATGTTTACAATTGTCTAAATTTTCATTTTAAATTGAATAATTAATTTCACATTTTTAATTTTAAATTTTAATTTAATCTGAAAAAAAAACAAAAACAAAACAAAACCTTAAAGGAAATTTGAAAAAAATTAGCTTTTCAACATTTAAAAGCACCAAATTTAATCCGGAAACAGAAGTACCAAGCCAAAGAAGGAAATGCATCATTAAATTAATATGATATGGAAATTGTAATTTAATCGTATCAATATCAATTAAAAATTCCATTGGTAATGCAATACCTGAAATTATGCAAAAAAAACAAACAAATAAACAAACAAACAAATAAACAAACAAATTGACAAAAAAAAATTTTTTTCAAATTTATTGCTATTAAAATTAAAAAAATCAGAAAGAATTATTAAAAATTAAAATTATTATTAAATTATAAATCATTATTAATAATAATTATTAAAAATTAAAAAAAAAAGATTTTTTTTATCAAAAAAATTAAGATTAATTATGATAAAAATAATTGATAAAAATTTTTGTTTTCCTGATAAATTTTTAATTAGAAATAAATAAATTAAATTAAAAAAAAAAGATTTTCTTTTTCCAAAAAAATTAAAATTATGATTAAAATAATTGATAAAAATTTTTATTTTCCTGATAAATTTTTAATTAGAAATAAATAAATTAAAATAAAAAAAAAAGATTTTCTTTTTATCAAAAAAATTAAGATTAATTATAATTAAATAATTGATAAAAATTTTTGTTTTCCTGATAAATTTTTAATTAGAAATGAATAAATTAAAATAAAAAAATTAACTTACCTGTTAATAAAAGATCAGCTAAAGTCATATTGAATAAAAAAATATGCATGCAGCATTCACTTGCATGTTTACGAATGTATCGTAATGCATTAATGATAACGATCACTTGAAGTGATACTGATAAGAAGCACATCACAAATAATACATGCATAATAATTGCATTAGCATTTGTTATTGTTATCTCATTAACCACCTGATAGAAAATTTATTAATTCATTAATTTAAAATTTAAATTTCTAAGTTTTTTTAAAGTTTAAAATTTGCTCAAATTTTATATGTATTCATTTTGATGCATCTGTTATTGTTATCTCATTAACCACCTGATAGAAAATTTATTAATTCATTAATTTAAAATTCAAAGTTTAAATTTCTAAGTTTTTTTAAAGTTTAAAATTTGCTCAAATTTTATATGTATTCATTTTGATGCATCTGTTATTGTTATCTCATTAACCACCTGATAGAAAATTTATTAATTCATTAATTTAAAATTCAAAGTTTAAATTTCTAAGTTTTTTTAAAGTTTAAAATTTGCTCAAATTTTATATGTATTCATTTTGATGCATCTGTTATTGTTATCTCATTAACCACCTGATAGAAAATTTATTAATTCATTAATTTAAAATTCAAAGTTTAAATTTCTAAGTTTTTTTAAAGTTTAAAATTTGCTCAAATTTTATATGTATTCATTTTGATGCATCTGTTATTGTTATCTCATTAACCACCTGATAGAAAATTTATTAATTCATTAATTTAAAATTCAAAGTTTAAATTTCTAAGTTTTTTTAAAGTTTAAAATTTGCTCAAATTATATATGTATCCATTTTGATGTATTTGTTATTGTTATCTCATTAACCACCTGATAGAAAATTTTTTAATTCATTAATTATTAATTTAAAATTTAAAGTTTAAATTTCTAAGTTTTTTTAAAGTTTAAAATTTGCTCAAATTATATATGTATTCATTTTAATCATAATTTTTCTTATCATATCATTTCTTTTTAAATTGAAATTAATTTTATAATCGTTCTTTTTTTTGTTTGATTTTAATTGGCATTAATATTTTAAGTTATTTTGAAGTAAAACAATAAGATAAAATTATATGAATGAATAAATTTAATTTAGTACTAGAAAAAGAATTGTAATACTGAATATAAAATAATATTTTAAATTTAATTTAATAATAGGAAAAGAATTGTAGTACTGAATAGAAAATAATATTTTAAATTTAATTTAATAATAGGAAAAGAATTGTAATACTGAATATAAAATAATATTTTAAATTTAATTTAATAATAGAAAAAGAATTGTAATGCTGAATATAAAATAATGTTTTAAATTTAAGTTAATAACAGGAAAAGAATTGTAATACTGAATATAAAATAATATTTTAAATTTAATTTAATGATAGGAAAAAGAATTGTGATGCTGGATATAAAATAATATTTTAAATTTAATTTAATAATAGAAAAGGAATTTTAATATCGAATATAAGGTAATACTATTAAAAAGTAACTATTATTGATAAGCAATGATTAAAAATGCATTAAAATTTTAGTCAAAATGTTAAACTAAAATTTTTATTTGTAATTTTTAACTTTTATTATAAATCGTTTATTGATGGCTTTTTTTCTTAATTATTTGAAAATTAAAAATCAATAAAAGTATGTTTTAATTTATCAGAATGAAATTTAATAATTTAAGTAAAAATTATCTCATGAAATTCTTCCTGTATAACTTATCAGTACTATTAATGATAAGTTTGAAAAAAAAAATTTTTAACTTACTTCAGATTCAATACATTGTTTAATAGCAGTATTAGTATTATTGCCAGACATATTTTTTATCACTTGTTAATAATTATCATTATTTGCTATACCAAATTGTCATTTGTTATGATATGATAACGGGTAATCATATTATCAATCGTTGATATCGCTATCATTGGTATAAACTAAAAAATAAGCAACAGATTGAGAAAATGATAATGATAAAATAATGATAATTCATGAAACACGCCAGACATATTTTTTATCACTTGTTAATAATTATCATTATTTGCTGTACCAAATTATCATTTGTTATGATATGATAACGGGTAATCATATTATCAATCGTTGATATCGCTATCATTGATATACTGTTGATATAAATTAAAACATGAGCAATAGATTGGAAAAATGATAACTATAAGATAGTGATAATCACTGATATAAAAAAAACATAAGCAATGGATTGGGTAAGTGATAATGGTAGTGATAAGATAATGATATTTATTGATGTAAACTAAAATAAGCTATAGACTGGGAAAATGATAACGATAAGATAATGATAATCATTGATATAAACTAAAATAAGTAATAGAATGAGAAAATGATAACGATAAGATAATGTAATCATTGATATAAACTAAAATAAGTAGTAGAATGAGAAAATGATAACGATAAGATAATGATAATCATTGATATAAACTAAAATAAGTAATAGAATGAGAAAATGATAACGATAAGATAATGATAATCATTGATATAAACTAAAATAAGTAATAGAATGAGAAAATGATAACGATAAGATAATGATAATCATTGATATAAACTAAAATTAGTAGTAGATTAGGCAAATGATAATGGTAACGATAATGATAAGATAATGATAATCATTGATATAAGCTAAAATAAGCAATAGAATGAGAAAATGATAACGATAAGATAATGATAATCATTGATATAAGCTAAAATAAGTAATAGAATGAGAAAATGATAACGATAAGATAATGATAATCATTGATATAAGCTAAAATAAGCAATAGAATGAGAAAATGATAACGATAAGATAATGATAATCATTGATATAAACTAAAATTAGTAGTAGATTAGGTAAATGATAATGGTAACGATAATGATAAGATAATGATAATCATTGATTGTAAGCTAAAATGAAAGCAATAGACTGGGCAAGTAATAAAAGTAATGATAAGACAATGATAATTCATGATATATGTTACAAATCTATCAAATCTTAAATAAACCACAAAAAAAAATTTTTTTAAATTAATTTTTTGAAATTTTTCTTTGGTTAGCTTATCATCATCAGTTTTTTTTTTGTGATAAGTTTGAAAAAGAAAAAAAATTTTTTTTTTTAAATTTTGAATAAATGTAATTTTATCAATTTAAAAAAATGAAATTGAATAGAAATAAATTGTCGTTTCATTTTCTTTTTTTCATTTATTTCTTTTGCAAAATTAAATATGAAATTTTGAAAATAAATTATAGCAAAAAATATTGCAAACATTTGTTTAGATCAAATGAATTTCGTTTTTTTTTTTTCCAAATTATTATTAAAAGAAGCTATTTGTTTAGAGAGAAAGAGAGATGGAGAGGAAGAGAAAAAGAGAGAGAGAGAGAGAAATTTTTAACAATAAAATTTAATTCAATTTTTTTCTCTTTTATCTTTATTTTTGGAAAAAAAATAAATTAAAAAAAGCATTTGAATTTATTTGATTGTAACTAAAATAAGTAAAACTAAAGATTACTTCAAAAAAAAAAAAAATTATTTAAAAATAGATTTCAATAATTGATTTCTTCCTTCTCTCTCACTCTTTCTTTCTTTTCTCTCTCCCTGTCTCTCTCTCTCTCTCTCTCGTATATTCCATACGAATAAATTATTTGTTTATAATGAAATAATTTCTATTTTCTTTTTTTTTTTTATTTTTTCCACTCAAAAATTCAATAGCAAATAAGAAAGTTTTACTATAATTAATATTGAAAAATTCATTTAAATTTTAAAAGAAATGGAAAAAAAAAAACAAAAAAACTTATTTTTCTCTTTAAAAAAAAAAAAAAAAAAATTGTGGGAAAGTAAAAAGTAATTAAAATTTACTAAAGTAATATTAAAAATTTACTAAAGTAATTACTAAAGTGAAATTTACTAAAGTAATAGTTTCATTTTTCCATTTTTTCCCCCTCTCTCTCTCTCTCTCTCTCTCTCTCTCTTTCTACCTCTCCCTTTGTTTTTCTAATAAAATTAAAATTAAAATTTTTTCACATACAAAAAATGAAAAAACACAATGAACTTAATGACTCTTTAAAAAATTTAAATTAAAATAAAATAATTAAAATGAAAAAATTGAGAAAACGGGAAAATGAGAATAATTGTTGTGAATGAGAAATGGAAATTAAATGATAACAAATAATTAATTAAAAATTTTAAAAGGTTTTTTTTTCCATTTCTTAGACAGAAATTTGTAAACAATAAAAATAATATAACTATAAAATAAAATAATTATTAAATTTTTATTGATTATTTAGAAAATTTGAAATTTTTTTTTTAAAAAAAAGCAAATCTGTACGAATAAAAATTAAATATAAAATTGTAATAATATTATAAACATACCAAGTTTTTTTTTTTTTTGCTTTTCATTTTTAATTAAAAAATAATTTTTTTTTTTGTTTGAAAAAAATTAAATTTAATTTTTAAATTTATGAATATTATTAAAATGAAAAAAAAATAAGCAATAAATTATAGAACTAAAAATAATAATAATAATAATAATAATAATAATAATAATAATAATAATAATAATAATAATAATAATAATGATAATAATAATTGGAAATAACAAAAAATAAATAAAAAAAAAAACTAATTAATTTTTATTAAACTTAAAAATAATTAAGGTAAAGGTGTGAGATAATAAATAAATTAATGAAATAAACAAAGAAGAAAAGTGTATTTAATTTATTTTATTTTTTTTTTTTTTTTTTTTTGTTAAAAAATTTGTTTTTCTTTTTTATTTATTAATTTTGTTTTGTTTAGCTATTTGTTTACTTATTTATTTGCTTTTCCTTCGTACTATCAAAATATGTAGATTTTTTATTGAATTTATGATCGTTTCTTTAACATTTCCCTCGAGCAAACGAACTAATTTGTCGCATAAATAAAATAAATTAGAGTTGTTTACATTTTTGTGGACGAAAATGTTTTTAAAATTTAACAAACAACACAACATGTAACTTTTTCCTTACTTTAATAACAATTTAATTTAAGTAAAATTTACTCTTTCATTTTATTTGAAGAAAAAGTTTTGTTAAAATATTATCATAATTGTCTTATCATACTGTTATCAATTATCATTCATTAATTAATCAAATTCAAATAACACATTCTATCATTGATCCAATTAATCATTTCCTATTATTAGTTCATATTTTTAATGAATTTATGTAAAATTAAAAGTTACATGTTAATTTGAAATTACTGATATGATTATTTCATATCAGCAAAAATATTATCATACTTCTCTTATCATATTGTTATTTATCAATTAACAAATTAATTAAATTCGAATAACATATTTGTCGTCCATCCAGTTAATCATTTCCTATTATTAGTTCATATTTTTTATAATGAAATCCATTTTAAATAAAGAATTATATGCTAATTTGAAATTGCTGATATGATTATTTCATATCAACAAAATATTATCATACTGTTCCTTATCATACTGCTACTAATCATCAATTAATAATTAATTAAATTCAAACGAAATATTTGTCGTCCATCCAGTTAATCATTTCCTATTATTAGTTCATATTTTTTAAAATGAATTCATTTTAAATAAAAAATGAAAGAAAAAATTATATGCTAATTTGAAATTACTATTATAATTATCTCATATTATCATACTTTTCTTATCATATTGTTATTAATTATCAATTATTAATTAATTAAATTCGAATGACACATTCTGTTATTGATCCAATTAATCATTTCTTATTATTAGTTCATATTTTTTAAAATGACTTCATATAAACTAAAAAATTATATGGTAATTTGAAATTACTGATATAATTATCTCATATTATCATATTTTTATTAATTATCAATTATTAATTAATTAAATTCGAATGACACATTCTGTCATTGATCCAATTAATCATTTCCTATTATTAGTTCATATTTTTTAAAATGACTTCATATAAACTAAAAAATTATATGGTAATTTGAAATTACTGATATAATTATCTCATATCAGTTGATCATTTATCAAATTGATAATTTATTTCCAAAAAAAAAATTTTTTTTTTTTGATTAATAAAATCAATTAAATATACTTTGCATAACGAATAATTAGTTTAATTTTACAGAGAGCAAAATTAAAGAGAGAAAAATAAAAAAGTGAAATAATCGATTTCAAATTGTTAAAGTATTTCAGAGAGAGAAAATTTTTTGACTTATTTTTTTCATTCATTTTTAATATTTATCATTAATTATTGCAATTTGATAAAATAAAATTTAAATGAAAAAAAAATTTTTTTTTCCTTTTTTGTTTTTTTTTTAAAAAAAATAAAAATATTAAAAAAAATTGGAAATAATATTAAATTTAAATTTAGCTTTTTTTTTTCCAAAAAAATCACTCAACTAAATTGCTCATTTATTTTAAAAATTTGTAAATTTAACTTTTCTTAAGAAAAAAAAAATTTTTTTTTTATTTTTAAATTTTCATTAAAAATTCATCAAAAAAGCGGAAAGAAAGAAAGAGAGAGAGAGAGAGAGAGAAAGAGAGAGAAAATTATGGATACATTTTTCATAAAATCATTGCTTCAAAGTAATTATTACCTATTGTTAAAAGTATTACCTTAGCTAATGATTACTTTATTCAAATAGCAAAAAAAAAAATTTTTTTTTCATTTAATTTTTAAATAGAAATTTAATAAATATTTTTTGATGTGTAAAAGATAAAAATGATTTTAGTATTAAATAGAATGAATAAAAATAATATTTATTGATTTTTTTTTTTCATATAATAATTTCATTTGGAAGGAATTTCCAATTTTAG